TTCACCGAGGTCGGAAGTTGACCATTTTGCTGAAATAGCTTCTTTAGTGTCGTTAAGAAGCTTCTCCGAAGTTGCTGCTATCAGCAAGTCGTCAACATAGACGAAGATGAGCACTATTCCACCCCCTGGACATGGCGTACGTAAAGGCATGGATCAGCCTTGGTGCTCATGAATTGCCTGGAGTGGAGGTACTCGGAGAGGGTTTTATACCAGTTTGCTGCCGACTGGCGAAGTCCGTACAAGCTTTTATAAAGCCTGCAAAATGCTCCGCGGTCCTCGAAGCCTTCCGGGTAATGCATATACGTTTCTTCCTCCAAAGCTGCATTAAGATACGCTAAGTTGACGTCCATATGCGTGGTGTGAAGGTCTCGCATTGCGATGACGGCAAGGAGCACTCGAAGGGTGTCATATCGGCCAGTACTGGCGTAGACTTCGTCAAAGTCAATACCAGGAAGCTGCTGGTCTCCGCGGGCGACCCAGCGAGCTTTGAACTTCGCTGGTTTGCCCGCTGAATCAGTCTTCAATTTGTATACCCATCGACCACGAAGTGGGCGGGCGCCCTTAGGCGGTGTCGCCGTTTTCCATACACCGAGGGCTTCAAATTGTGAGATCTCTGCTTGCATAGCTCTCTGCCACCATGGCCATAGAGGTGAAGCTTTCGCTTGAGCAAGAGAGGCTGGAGAGTCAAGCCATTTGGTAGGGATTTCCTCCATGTTTTGAGGTAGGGTATGAAGGTCATTACTAGCCAGCTTTTGAGCTAATAATACCGTTGTAGTGTCTTCCCATGCCTGGATTTCCCTTCTGTCACTTTTTGAGATCACTGAGGGTCTGAAAGCTAGTGCTCTAATGATCTTGTCGGTTTTGGACGGCGATAGCTTGTCCTCCTCGGCCATATCGAGAGGAGATTGATTGCTTGTTAGGTATGCGTCTACTTCAGAGGTGAGATTGTCGGCAGATTCATCGGAGCTTTCTTCATTGTCCGATTCAGGGTTGAGGAGCAAGTGATCTGCTTCCTTGAAGCTTTCCTGGCTTTGTTGGCTTTGATGGCCAATAGGCTCATCGATTTGATGATGAGGAAGCTTGTTTCGAGGGTCTGGAAGGTCGGGGTTGTTGTAAAGGGCCCAGTCTTCTCCTTCCTCGAAAATTGCATCTCTCACTAAGTGGAGAGTGCCGCCATTAGGTCTAGTGCCGTCTGATCGCACTGGGTAAGGTCGGTAGACCTTGAAAATGCCGCCATTGTCATCTTCATAACCGACGAGGTAGCCGATTTCGATGCGGCGGGCGAGATGTTTGCCGACGGGGTCTTGAGCCACCTGCTCTCGGCCAAATACTCTGAATACCCGGCATCCGATGATACGAAGGTGAGAGAGATCCGGCTTCCGGCCATGGCGAAGCTCATATGGGGTGGTTGGTGGCATCCCGGCGAGTCGTCTACCATAGTAAATGGTGCGGTTTCGGACGTATACGACGGTCTTCATGATCTCCGCCCAGAGGAATGGCGGGAGGTTCGAGTCAGCTAAAACGGATCGCATTCTCTCAGCTACTATGCGCATCAGTCGTTCCACTTTCCCATTTTGCTCATGAGCATATGGAGCAATGAAATGCCAGTGGATTCCGCGGTTTTCAGCCCAAATTTGGAGGTCTTTCTGAATGAATTCACCCCCATTATCGGTCTGAATGGCTCCAATTTCCTTGGTCGAGTCGATAGAAACAAACTGCTCAATTCGGGCTTGGTGGTCCCTTTCGTACTGGGCAAGAAGCTTCTTGATAGCGTCTTTTGCTTCGTTCTTAGACTTGAGGAAGCAAATATCGGCCCAGCCATCGAAATCATCGATCATTAGGAGCCAGTAGCGAGCTTCAGTATTGAGAGCAGGTTTTAGCTTGCCGCCGCCGCCAATATCTATATAGACGAGTTCTCCGGTCTTTTTCGAGCGGTGAAGCACAGGTGCGCGGCGTGGTTTCAAAGTTGCTTTGCCAATGGCGCAGCATTCGCATGGCCTTTTTGAGGCTGACAACCCATCAATGTCAATGCCATTGACGATTTTGGCTGTATTCTGCACCCCCTGAATGCTGAGATGCATCATACGGCGGTGCCAAGTGTCGACATTGACTCGGGAGCGGTCCAAAACAGGTGGTTTTGACGCTTTTGACGCTTGCTCGGTTGCTATAGGCGGAGCTTGCTCAATTTGTTGAGCTTCCTCGATATGCGGAGCTTCCTTGGTGAGGCTCTCGGCATTCAACTCATCCGATTCTGTCGTCGTTTTCAAGGCATATATTGCTTTCTCAGTTTGATGAGTTTTAACGACGTTAAGCAGCCATTGTGAGCCATTCTTCCTTCCCGAAGTAAGGTGCGAGCCGTCCTTCTCAATGAAGTCAACCCTGGTTGGCTTATAAATGGCTGTAATGCCTTTCTTTGAGATACGGTTGCCGCTGAAGAGGTTGCACTGTATGGTCGGGCACCATATTGTATTGCAGAGTTCGATTTCTCTGGTTTTACGGCCCGATTTGACGGTCAAAACGACGTTTCCACGAAGCCCGTTTTGCTCTTGTCGTCCATTTATAGTGACTATGGTGGTCGTAATTGGCTTAGCAGTGCCAGCCACGAAGTAGTGAGGTGAAGAGATAAAGTGGTCATCGCTTCCTGGATCACATATCCATGCTCCTGGGCCATTTTTGGTGTTTACCGAGAGGGCTATAGTAGCTGGTGACGGTGATTCGTCGCTTAGCGAAGCGGTGAGGGAGGCGGTGAGTAGAGATCTTCTTTCTTCTCCTTTCTCTTCCTTTTCCCCTCTTTTTGGCCGTTTCTCGGGGTATTTCTTCCAGCAATTGGAGCTTTTATGCTTCCGGCCGCAGTGCTTGCATTTCTCTCCCGTTGCAGCGGTTGAGTATGCTTTTGATGTCTCGTTGGAGACGTTCTCTGTCTGGTTCTCTATCTCGCTGACGAGCAGCTCGAATTGGAGAATTTCCTTATCAGGGTTAGATGAAGCTGTGAGTCGAGACTTGAGGTTGGTCTTCCAGCTTTGCCATTTCTCCGAGTCGAGCTTTCGAATGAACCAAAGGCATTTGATTCGCTCGCTTTCAATGCCTTCATTATGGACCTTGGCCCATGCAGACTGAAAGGCGTTTTTGTATTGGTCGAAGCTGGCGTAATTGCTCAGCTTACATCGCTCAAGCTCCGCAATGCCGTCTTCAGCTACTTTGTATGGATGCGGCTTATAATTCAGCTCCAATGCTCTCCAAATAGCATGCGGCTGGTTGATTTTGCGGTGTTGTAAGAACTGGAGAATGGGCTTCGATATGTGATTGCAAATAACCTTTCTCGCGTGGCTGATGAATTTCTTTTGCATCATTGAATACCGATGGTCGGCTGGGAGGGCAATGACTTCGCCATATACAATGGCTTCAATTGCATTGTCTTCAAAGACTTGTTGCATGCTCATTACCCAAAGGGTGTAGTTCTCCTTTCCCTTCAAAGCTTCGAATTTGTCGTCATCAGTAAGCTTGCGATGAATAGTCGCAGCTATTTTGATGTGCTCGGTGGCTTTGCGAACGGCTCTTGCGTATTGGACCTCTTCATTGGTCATTGCCGGCGTCGGTTGATGGCTTGGTAGACGTCTTAGCGGTGCATTGCCAGTGGAAAAGTGAGATCTCCGCGAAGCTGTTCTTTGAATTGGCTCTCCACTATGGCGACTGGAGGCTCTAGGAGTATGTGTTCCGTTCGGGTGAGCTGTATAGCTTCTTCCCGGCTTGCTCGACGCAGTTCGGTTGCGATACATTACGTCGGCATCTGTATGGGGCCCATCGGTCTCTGACTGGTCCGATGGTCCATGGATTGGCTCACTTGGTTGAGTAAAGAGAGAGGGTGCTCTCCTACTTTGAATGTTAAGCCTATATCTATCAGACGTTGTACTGGCGTCTAAGACATGTGGTTGGTTGGTGCCAGTGATCTCTGGCCCATATTGAGGCAGCGAGGTCGAAGCTGGCTGCTCTCTTATTGGTTGGTTGCCAATTGCTCGCGATGAAGGGCCCGGCGCCGAGTCCTGGATCACGGTATGCGTATCGTCTTCAACATCAGAGGGGTAAGCGTCGCTCATTGGTGGAGCTTCACTTTCACTCCAATCGAGGTGATCGGTCTCGAGACGGCGACGTTGAGAACGTGTGGTGCGTCTATCAGACATTGTTGGAGGAGTGGACTCAGGGGTAAAGCAAGTAAAGAATTGATAGCAAGAATGAAGCTATTCCCGGCTTACGGAGACGAAGCCGGGCTCATAACCTGTTGTAATTTACAATGGTCTGAGAAGCACTATGCATGAGCAATGGGCAGTAAAACGAGATGATTTAAGTCTACCTCCCGAAGGAGGCTTCTCTATAGCTATTTATAATGGTCAAATGCATACGATATGCCTTTCATGAAACTATTGCGTGATCAGCTCACTAGCAATATGAAAAGGCCACGTTGCTTGATGCATTCAACCAAGTGCTCTGAAGCTCTCTATAGCGCTGCTCAGCCAAGCATTAGCAGTGCTTGGCGAGCTTCAGATCACAACACAGGGAACTCGCCTTGCGAATTTCTGATCGATCGCCCTCGAATCGAAAGACGTAGACTAAACAAAAGAAATGCACGGATGCAAACATGATAAACACAAAGCCAATCTTCCTTTGAACTACAACAAATATGTCCAACTAAGTTTGCAGACAGCAAAAATTCTGTATTGTATTACCTCTAGTTCACGCTACATATTTAGGTTCAAATTAGTTACAAAAGCAATGCGCCGGATCAATCATAGATCCGGCTTTCCATTACAACATCCAAGCCCTTTTGCCACACTCGCGCCTTCTCCATGGTAATTAATAGAAGCCGTGTCGCTAAGATGCCAGTGAAGCTCGGCGCGGATAATTTTTCTCCAACGTTTCACGACAGCTTCTCATTAATCCATGTAGAGGCTAATTCATACCTCGAGAGGTCGCCTTTTCTCCATCCAAGGAACCCCAGCCGCAACATGGGGCCCGGGTGAGGATTCGGAAAATTGATTTAGCCGAAACCCGACTGATCATTAGCATGATCGCGAATCTCCTCTCCCCCCTTATCCCGTATGGCGCCTTCTCCCTCATCCTTTCCGTATGCAACCCAGCCCTACGCACACCAGCCATAAAACAGAAGGCATGTTTACCTCTGTAGAGACCTAACACTGGTGGAAAAGGATTTCTATTTTCGCCATGGATTTTGCTATCTCACACTACTCGAAAATCCACAAATGGTAAATCGGCAGGCTGCTTGCGCCCTTGATTTTCTCCCTTGATTTCTCTTCTCTATTTACCCTCTCTCCCAATTTTGACGAAGAGACAGAAGCGACTTCAATTTGCGCCACCTACGCCTAACCCCGGAATTATTACGCAGCTTTCCCAACCTGTGGGTGTTATGGCCATGGGGGATGCCGCACGCCCAAGTGATGATAAATTCAGCCGAACCCTTGAGGAGAGTCTCACGACATGGTCTTCCTATCTTAATATCCAGAGCGAGGATCACCTACTGCCCCGGCATGCCATAGACCTAAGACCTCTCGTCAGTCAAACACCACCTTTCCTCGGTGGTGGCGCTGCTGCCCTGAACAAGACCACATCGTTCGCTTGCGAGGAGAAGCAATCAACACAGGTAACAGGCAGTCTTGTCGTCAGTGGCCAATCAACATGGAGAACCTCAAAAGGGAATTGTGATTCACAGCCAAGGGTCATGCCTAAGCAACTTCTATTAGCAGTTGGCAGTCGATTAAATGTGAGGTTGGCAGACGACGCCCCCTTTCAGACTGGCCCGGAGTTAAGGAACTTTCAAATTATGATGAGGGAAACTATTTGTCAGTCCTTTACTTTGCATGGGCATATATCATATCTGCTCGATGGGTTGAGTTGCTTAGTCGCTCTGCTGATCATGAATGTTATATGGTCTGTACTACGCAGAGGGCGGGAAACTCATTACCGCGGTCAGATAAGGAATCACTCGTTGAAGTTGACATCGGCGACGATGCTTGTGAAGAAGAGATCTTCTGGTGGCACACCATTTTATGTTCTGGCGACGGCTGGGATGCGGCCGTAAAGTACAATGGCCGTATCTATTTGTCGCCATGGTCGGTTTCGGCGAAGAACGTGGGCTTCATCCTGGCTAAAACTGGGTTTTTGAGTGCCGAGTCAAACCTACCGGAATCGGCGACCGCTCTTAAATACCTCTCTCGTTTCTGTGTGCACCATCGCCTATACGCTCAGTGCTCAGTTGCCCTTGCCGGGGTACTCTGCATTCCATTTCTGAGGAAGAAAACAGTTTCTCTCCCGTTTCCAAAACAAAATTCTCGGGTGAGAAAAAAGGAGAGTACTAGTGACTCTTCTGTTTCTATCCCAGATCTTCTCGACGAACACAGCGAATTGCTCCCCAAATACATGACTCTAAGTTCCAATACGTGGGGTTTGCGCTCTCTCCTGTGCAGCACATTCTTCAATGCAGATATCGAGTGTAATCTCGTCAGTGCCTGGCTAAATCCGGCATTTGCTGTTATTGACTCGATCCACGAAAGGAAAATTTCGGTGGCTACATTACTGGCAAACCGCCAGCCTCGACTCGGGATCCTCTGGCTTGGTGCAATCCTCACAGACCTAGCAAACTCTGTCTTGCGTGACATACGAGCAGGGATGACGGCTCTGGATCTTACAGCTTCTGCATGGGCCGGAACAACACAGACGTTCTTGACTTCAAAAATGGGGAATAATCATGGCGAATTGATACGCCGCGATGACGAATGCCGACTGCTTTTCATTACAGCCTGCGAAGGCCATGATCGACCTCCAGTCTGGCCTTGGAAGCCCTTTGGGTTTACACAACTTGGTGATACAGAGCTCCCGGTCCGACAGCATGCTCGATGTGCCGCTCACTGCTTAGAATACGAATATTGGGAATGGATTTTGACAAACAACAATTCAATTCGATATTCCGAAGCAGGAAATGGCCAACTTCCTGTCCAGGCATCAACTTCATCCGCCGACAGGCCATTGGCCAGGCTTGATGATTATAACTATGATTTCTATTCACAGATCCTCTCTGAAGGAGCCACGCGTGGAATATTTGAATGGTTAAGATCGACAGGGTACCCTCGCAGTGAAAGACCGATATACCAACATTCTTGGCTAGATTTGGAAGTCACTGACGAAGAAGAGCCCGACGATGCGGATTCAGACTTGGAATTACAGCGGGGCCCAAAGAAAATGCATGTTGAAAGATGGCTAGAAAGCATCGAATAGCTCTTGAACACAGTCAGACCGTAAGGTCAATATATTCATTGAAACCATCTGGGCCTCCAGCGGGGTGATCAGGGCATTTGGCACAGATTGCATATACCCCTGAATCGCCGTGATCGCCGGTTTGACATATCTTCCACCTCTTGCGACATTTTGCTTCCTTGCACTTATAGGTGTTGTGCTCATTGTTCCAATGACCACACCTCGAGTTTGAGCAAGTACCAACTTGGCCGGAACTGGCGGTCATTTTGAATCTTTGTACAGAATTCAAATATGCTCGGGTCTCAATTCAGTGTCTGCTTCATATTTGTCTGTTAGCCTTGCATTCTCGCTTGCGTTCCTGGTAATAATGAATATTGCCTTTTGAGTGAAATTCGGTAATGCTTTCTGAGGGATGCTGTGGTTATTTCTGAGCTACTGAGGGGATTCGGACGCATTTAAAAGCAATAGCTTCGTATCCATTCCTATAAATAAACCATCTATTTTGTCCCTTGACGCTGTGGCTTGATAGTTTCGCGTTTTTTGAATGTCCTTGCGCATATGATTCTAACGGCTTCCCGAGAAAGACATGGATTTGTATGTTGAGTGCTAAGGTGCCATCCTCGGGCGCTTAGACTAGTCTATTAGCATGTCCCCGAGATTGGCGGATTTACAGTTGGATTGGACTTTTAGGTATATTGAATACTTCCTATCTTCTGCCACAGAGAGTGTCGGATTCTTGCAGGGCGCTTAACGATAGGTACCTAGGCCATTATCCCACTAGGCGAAGCCCTTAGTCCACAGCGAGCCGAGCTGGCCAACGGGCCAGGGGTCGTAAGCCGAACGCGACTGCAAGCTGCGGCCACGAGAACAGTCATTACAATCTGAGGACTAGTGTCCTGGCGACCCACTGGGCAGGCAGCGCATGTCCAATGTCGAGGAGATGTGGTGGGACAGCTGTGGATTTTGACAACGCATCGTCCACGTGATCCTCCAGGCAGCCCTCCAAGCAAAGGGGATCGCGTTTTGTCTCCAATGGATACCCGGACACTGCGACAATCAAGGAAACGACGAAGCAGATTGGTTGGCCAAGGACGCGGCAAGCCCGGGCAAAACACACACCTTCCGCCCTCTGCTGACAAGAGGGCGCTTATCCGAGACACCATCCGCGCTCAGCGGGAAGCGGGAGTGGAAAACATCTGCCAAAGGCGGTCAACCTGCGAAAAATCGATAGCATGCTGCCGGCGGCCTACAACAGGAAGCTGTATGGGAATTTGCCCAGGGAACGGGCGTACCTGCTGACACAGCCACGCACGGGCCATAATTGGTTATCCACCTATGCCAAGACCTTCGGCTTCCACGACCATGATCAGTGCGTGTGCGGACCGCAAGAAACAGTCATCCACGTGCGGGTGGACTGCCCAAATCTGAGGGAAATCCGACGCAATTAAGGAGTAAATCTGGGGACGCGTTTAACAGCGTATCGAGTCTGCTGGGAGACCGTCTCGCGGGTTAGGACGGTCATAGCTGTAGACTTGGCTGAGGCGTCACAACGAGCAGCCTAATAACATGAGCGGCAACTAGGCCACGATTGGCCTTGACGAGGCTCCAAGTTCAATTTTAGGAAGTGGGACATCATACACGGATATAACGTATTGTGTAAGCGAGTGGAACATGTAAGCGAGTGGAACAGCTAGAACACCACCTTAAAAGGTGATAAATTACAATGTCCAAGTTCCACGCTCATAGGATAATAAGAAGAAAAACTCTAAAAATGTGTTATATATAATGAATGAACGATCTTGTAGGAGCCTTGGATCGCTTAGAGACTATGGGCCCGAGACGTACATATTTTATATAAAAATGCGAAAAAACACCATGGTTTATCGTAATATATTCAATCCTTACTGTATTTTATTAAAACCCTTGTAGCTATCTTGTCTTACTACAATACGTTATATAGTTGCTGTAGCCTGTATACCGCTTCGGCAGTTGATTTCCCAGCTACACTAAATACGAATCTGTACCCAGCCTAGTGGGTTGCGGTTTAGAATCCAACTTCCGCGAGAGGTCGCGGTAAATAAATTCTACTACTACTACCACTGTAGTTCCGGAGAATGAGAGGTAGTATCCTAGGAGCTTAAGTTACTTCCCCGGAGACAAGTAGAGGCCCCTGGGATTGGATATATAAGCCCCGCAACGAGTCTACCTTGAAAATGTATGAACTTACGATGAGAAACTAGAGGACTTACTTATCACTTATTGGCACTATGCTGAATGGAGGATCCACCACGCTCTCTTCTGCTTTTCGTTCGCTCTAGGTGGTCAAGAGGATTGTTGGGATCTTTGTTACTGACATTCGAATTCACAGTGCTGGCCATAGCCGAAGAAAAACAGGTCAGTCATTTACAGGACCAATCTATCATCCCTGCTCCGCAGGTCAAATGTCAAGAATGCCGTGAACCCCCATAAGTGGGGCGAAAAGCTCCGCCACGCTGCCGCCAGCATGAACCACCATCTACATAAGGACCGTTTGTCCGCATTGAATCTTCTTAGAACTACCCATTTTGCTTTATTCAATCCATTGTTAAGCAGCGCTCAGCTTGTTGAATGTAGCTTTCCTCAAGAATCCTCATTCTCCACAAAGCTTTCTTGAATGATGGCAAAAACGGCGCAGGTTGCGAGGAACTCAGTCCCAGCAAAACGCGGAGCTGACCGTATTATTCAAAGACTGCAAGCACCATGAGATGCTAGGAATATACAGAAATTTCCGAATGCCTTTTAATCTCACTATGGCCTGGGTGACGGTCGTGCTGAAACGCAGCCAAAATATGCCGAATAGTTGCCATCCGCGAGGGCAACAAATATATCATTGGAAGACACATAGAGGTCTTGTAGGAACCGGGCAATCCGAAAGCTCGTTTCACAAAACGCTTCACTAAAAGGGACTAGAAATTAGCTCACGAGCCTGTTCGAAGTTTGCGAACTTTGACGAATTGAATAGGCTATAGATTCGAATGCCGAAATGAAGATTCGAATTCGATTCGCCGAAATTCGCGAGTTTCGAACTGTTGCGATAAAATGATTGTACTGGGTTAAATTTTCGCATTTTTTGGAGGTGGGGACTCCTCATCTATTTACATCTCTCTCGGTAGTCCCCGCCACATGCTTTGACCACCGTGGTACTCAACACGAACAACTCGAAATTCGCGCAGACCACTATTTGGAAACGAGCTTTGACATCCAATATCACGCTCTTTCGGATATTAGTTGTTCCGTAGCCGGAATTAAGATCGGGCACTATACCATTCATCCCACTTTCTATTACCCCGCCGCTGTGGGCTCTTCTTGTACTCTCACTCTGAGTAAACTATCGCCTCCATGGTCATTATTTGGAGGATATCAACTTGATTGCAGGTAAATCGTCTACGGCCATTTTCTAGGTTCCTGAGACGATTTAGGCTAACAGCTTGTCCTGCTCTCCAGTGTGCTCTCATTTGCTCAGCCACACCCGGCTCAGTCATGCCGACCGATATCAACGCCGATGCCTTGCCGGAACTTGAGAGCCTAGCAGCATGGGTTTCGCAGATCGAGATGAAGGAGGAGAAAGGAAAAAAGAACCTTTTGGAATGTATGGACGAAGCTCGTGAAGCGAAAGCGCGGCCGTTATTGGAGAAGTTGGGATACGCTACAATACAGGTAAAAGAACAATTTGCTCTTAAAGATTCAACGCGGAAACGCTGATAATTGGATAAGGGCCATTATGCTTTACTGTTGCGCATATGCGGTAAAGCTTCGATTGAGAAACCCGAGGAAGATAAACGAACGTTGTTATTCTTCCCTCTGTCCGGAGACGTGCAGGTTGCCGGCGAAGTCCTTAAACCAGGGACCTACATTCGGCTCACAAAGACTTTGGACCTTGACGCACATTTGGATTGTCTGATTATCGTTCTACCATAATCTGCATCGCAGGAATATTGTGGCGTTTCACCTTTGTTCGAATTTCTGAATTATCTCGCTTTTGTACCTGCATTTTTATCACCAGAGTGAGACGCATTCAACGCAAGGTTCATTTAATTCTGGGATCTTAGCAAAGCGTATACTAACGTGTCTGTCCATATGTTTGTACGAACTTTGTTCAAAGCCAATGAAATGCTCTCTATGTTTTGGACACCACATCCTGTTGGTATCACGTAAAGCTCCTAGGATTCTGAAGGCTAAAAAACTTCACTCGTCGCACAATCGATTTCGGTCGAATTGAGACCAAATTGTGTCGTATTGCTGTGGAACTGGGAATTAAAAAATGGACTGAACAACGCATTGCTCTCCAGCGGGTTGAAACGTGTCCTCTCTTCGTCGGTCTCTACCTCGACGCTGTGGAGCTGGCTGTCGTCGAGCTGGACGTTGTCGAGCTGGACGTTGTCGAGCTGGGAGCCCGGGAAAAGGCTGAATAGCGCATTGCTTGCCAGCGGGTTGAACCGCGTTCTCTCTTGGTCGGTCTCTACCGCGACGCTGCGTAGCTGGCTGTCGTCGAGCTGGACGTTGTCGAGCTGGGGGTCCGGGAAAAGGCTGAATAGTGCATTGCTTGCCAGCGGGTTGAACCGCGTTCTCTCTTGGTCGGTCTCTACCGCGACGCTGCGTAGCTGGCTGTCGTCGAGCTGGACGTTGTCGAGCTGGGGGTCCGGGAAAAGGCTGAATAGTGCATTGCTTGCCAGCGGGTTGAACCGCGTTCTCTCTTGGTCGGTCTCTACCGCGACGCTGCGTAGCTGGCTGTCGTCGAGCTGGACGTTGTCGAGCTGGGGGTCCGGGAAAAGGCTGAATAGTGCATTGCTTGCCAGCGGGTTGAACCGCGTTCTCTCTTGGTCGGTCTCTACCGCGACGCTGCGTAGCTGGCTGTCGTCGAGCTGGACGTTGTCGAGCTGGGGGTCCGGGAAAAGGCTGAATAGTGCATTGCTTGCCAGCGGGTTGAACCGCGTTCTCTCTTGGTCGGTCTCTACCGCGACGCTGCGTAGCTGGCTGTCGTCGAGCTGGACGTTGTCGAGCGGGGGTCCGGGAAAAGGCTGAATAGTGCATTGCTTGTCAGCGGGTTGAACCGCGTTCTCTCTTGGTCGGTCTCTACCGCGACGCTGTGTAGCTGGCTATCATCGAGCTGGCTGTCGTCGAGCAGGGGGTCACAGCTACGAAGATAAGTGCCCATGACATTCTGGGGGCCGCTTAAGCCTGTTGGAGTGGTAACAGACGGCACTGGGCCCCATCCCGCCGAATTTGTTTGGTGGAATTCAGCTTGCAACTGATCGGTTTTGCTGGGATAACTCCCAACATGCCGGATGATATCTGTATCCATTGAAATTCGTCTCCTTTTGTGACATTGTTCCCCGGTCTCTTTTGTTGAATCAGAGCAACGAGCAGTCCCGGATGATCTGGAAGTGGCTGAACCAGCAGCGTATATCCCCGTGGCGGCATTTGCACATCGTGTACGACCTGTATCTGCCAGCGGCTTATTCGGAGCTGGAGTTGTAATTTCTAAGCAGAAAGACTCGACTAGATCAGCAAAACCCCCAAAAAAAGGCCCAAAAGAATGTTCTGCTCAATTTGCCAGACTAAGTTCAAGCGAGCCCAAGGTTATATAGACACACGTACCGGGGCATGAGTAGATGTTATCAAAAGTCGCCAACATAGGTTGAGCAAATTCTGCATTTGATTCAGAGCGATAACACATTGAGGTGCGGTCTACGTTCTGAGTACCCGGCGAAGACTCGGTTGAATCGTCACCGGCAGCAATTTGCGCGGTCAACGAATCACTTGACGAAGACCCCTCACCGGCAATAAATGATTGATGGCTAGACGGCGATACAATAGAATAGCCTCTGTCAGGTCTCGAAGGGTTTGACGGAATAATAACAATGTCTCCACCACGACGATCGCATGATGTTGCTGCTGCTGATGTATGTAACTGGGTTGTGTTCGAAATGTCCTCAGAGTTTGCGATGCTAGGGCTCATGCTATGGGGAGACATTGATATATTTGACTCCCGTAAGGTATGATCAGGTGTCTCCGAGCTTAGGAAACTTATATACGTCGTGTCCGCATTGGACCCGGGGCAGGAAATTGAGAACGCATTCGTTGTACCAGAAGGGTGGGCTTCCGTACTTGTGGTGGGGATCACTGTAAATGGTTGACGAGCTGTATCCTCTAATAAAGCAAAATGATTTTCTGGGCCCACGGGGGCTGATGACAGAGGAGAATCAGTAGTCGGGGCGTTGTTACTTCGAGAAGATTGGCACGGGTATTGGCAATGAGACATCAATTCGGGATTATCGTCATCTTGAGCTGAAAAAATTAGCTCATAAAAAACCGCAAAAATTCTGGATAGCTGGCCAGGCAGACCTTCTGGCAGAATAGAGCCTTCAGTTGTAATATTGGCCCCGCGAGAAGATTGACATTGAGGGCGTTGGCCTTGGCGATCTGCACAGGTTAGCTTCCAACCATTTCTCGACCTAGCTAAAGTTTCACTTAGTGGCGATGAAGGTTCATCCGGGCAGTGCCTTTTCGACGGCTTGCATGGCGTTAATGCCAACCTTTTCCTGGCACGACCATCATCCAAGGCGTTTTTGAAAAGGGGCTGATAAGACCTGACAGAGGATAATTCGTATCCCAGGCATTTGCAAATCACCTTTAGGCTGGAAAAAGTCAGTCATGGAAATTGAAACAGAAGTGATTTACCCACGACGTGCGGTTCCTGAAAACCCTCTTTACGATCAAAGGGATTGCGAAGGGTGCCGGTGAGTCTATAGATTCGGGCAAAAAAAGCTTTCATGGATATTTGTTTCCATTCTCTCCAAAACTTCCTTTGGATCCACAGAACAGTCATTTAGCCGGGCGTAAAAGCTAACGGGACGCTGGGCTCGACAGAGTTAGCTTGTCAAGACAACATAAACACGGTCATCATACCAACACAAAGGATATCCCAGCTTCTGGATGCCCATTTTGTCTTAGACAAGAGCGATACGAGACTGTTCGCCCATTTGGCGCCACGAACAAGTTTGACAAGCTGTTTGGAAGAAGCATCGGATCCGAGAACTTTCCGCATAACTGCATGGACGCCATCTTTGTCTTCGATGTTTTCCAATGCAACTGCACAAAGAGAAACAAACACCAAATTTTGAAAGCATGCGAGTTGTTGATTCAGCATACCAAAAGAGACCATACAGCTGGCGTATTGAGACAAAATAGAAATATCTGTCGGCTTGGATGGCACCTCTGCCAACTCCTTCGCTGTTCTCAGTGACGCAAAGCTCGGTGTACCCGAGCCACAATTTTGAACCAGTGCCTCGAGGTATTCTTTGCGCTGAATTTCATCAAGAGCGGAAACCCAATTTTTCCAAATTTCTGATTCGGGTAAATTGTCAATGAAGCTGATAAACCTTGCTAGGGTCTTGAGCTGATGCTTTTTGCTCTGGTCACGTGCACAATTGCCTGTCCTATTTGATTCAAGGTGGACAGTTGGATTGTATTCGATAATGTTGAACGCGTCAGGATTACCGCCATCTTTGTGTATACGTCCTTGTTTATCGGAATCTTCCGGGGCGGGTTCTGTGTCACCATCAGGGCTTTGGGTTTCCGGTGCGATCTGAATTTGACGTGTGTGGCGATGAGGTCTTTCGCAAACCTCGACCTGATTACGGACTCCGTTGAAGTCCGCTGGGCTCGATGACATTCCAAGGTAGGTAGATTGTCGAAATGGTTGTCCAAGAGAGTCTTCAAGCTGAAGAATTCGCGCTTCAAGGAACAGAATATAAGCAGCGTCGTCACCCTCAAATGGAATCCGGCGTGTCATGTTTGCTGTGAACAGACCAGGGGAAACAGAATCGCAGAGAAGTGAGACTACCTTTTCGTCCTGGCCCCCTTCCTCAAGATGATCTAACAGGGGGTGCCATCAAGTGGTTGGTTGGGCCAGATCAAGGGTCCGTGCTGGGCGCTTCTGTAAGTCCTATCACAGGAGGTGTAAGAACCATCACACCGCTGTCCGATTTGTTTGTAAGAATATCTAAAAAGTTCCTCATACCCCTTGGGAAAGGCAATTTTTCTGCCTGCTTTTTTTTGCCTTATGAAGTCATGCGCCACCCCCTGTTGAGGTAACTACGGTTCCGGTGTTACCGCGCAAACAAAATTATCAGGCTCTGTTTTATCATGGCTTACACTCTCGACTTTCGAAGATAGATATTTGGGGTCCCAACTTTCAAATGGATGGAATCGGCGTACAATCACCTCGGGGGGCCACGATTGCTTGCTTTCGTGAGCTGGTTTATCTCATCACCGATCTTACAGGTGCCAACAGCCCTAACCAACCTAAAGGCACCCAGCGGATTGCCCCTAATGCAGTTAGTCACCAAAGACTGACAATAGCAAACGTAGTTGGCTGCCCCTAATCTTAGGTCCGCAGTACCTAAAGAGTCTACCGTCCCTTGACGGCGCAACGAGTTATCCCTTTTTAATGCGATAAACGTTTGGATGCTTTATATTATGAGACGAACCACCTATTGGTTGGTCTTCCTAGGATTAAGGGCTTAGTTGGGAAGTCCGCCCAAGACTGCTCGTCTCTAGCGCAACAGAATTTGGAATGCAATTTTTATCTTGACTGAATCGGGCTAATGATCTGGCAACCCGAGCATCCTGATAGCCATTTCACGCGTCGGTTGAAAATTGTTTCGTTTCTGAGACTAATCAAGATGACTTGTTCTATACGAGACTTTGTAGGGCTCAGCGGTTTCGTGATACTGTTTTCCTATGATGACCTCTAGATGGCGGATTCATCAGGTGAGTCACATCACTCCATTCACTGTTCCGTTTCGCTGGAAGATTTGATGATATTAAATGACATCCTCAAAACAAATAGAGTCTTGCCTCTCCTTGTTATTAAGACGCTAATGTGCTTGGGACCCTACTCAAGGCACCGAATATCTCTGCATTCCTTCAAACCTCAAATAAAAGACAAACCATGCGGTTCCTCAAAAACGGCTTACAATTTCACGAAGACAAGCCTAGGATGACTCAGATATCGAATGCACTGGAATCGACCTACAATCACCTTGGGAGCCTTGTTTTGATGGAAGCTCCTCTATTATTTCGTCACTTACCATTGCAGCTCTAGCCACCAAGCACTGACCCGAATCAGGGGCACTCAGCTGGGCGACACCGGTCTCTCGACTTTATCGGATCAGGAGCACCCGGCTGGGTGCTTTCAATAATATATTGAATGTTCTGGACTCTCCTATGATCATCTGCTTGCCGTAGGCATCCTTGGCCTAACTTTGCTCCTCGTCTGCGATCTATCTATTAAAGTTTGACAAAGGCTACAAAATCTCGAAAACCTTTGCTTTTTTAATTCAAATAACGCTTAGACATCAAAAATTCCAGTCCGCTATGCAAGCTCGCAGTCAAAAAACCACCAGTCTTGTCGCAAATACAGGAGATCCCGTACCAGATGTAGTAGGTTCAGTCATGCTACGTATGTGCAAAATGACGAATATAGCAAAAAAAAAAAAAAAAAAAAGAGGAAAACCTTTCGAAGTAAGTCGCTTGCTTGCATTTTGTTCCTGATGAATCACTCGATGCAATAATCAGTAGGACTAAGAACCTCAAATATCAGACTTCCCCCACCGAAACCTGCGGCAAGTATGCAGCAACAAACTCTCCCTCTCCAAGCATTACTTAATACTATCTCAAAAAAGCACCATGGACTTCTCGATCATTCCAGTCGAAGATATCGATATTCCCTTTGCCGATCTTCAAGCAAAGCAAACCGAGATTGAGCGATTTTCTGCCAGTACTCTCATCTTCATTTGTGACCATCACGAGCCAATCACCGCATACGTCCTTTGTTGTTAACGGGACCCACTCGGCAAAGACGAAACGGCAACGGGAAAAAGAACTAATGGCCCTTCTCCGGGAGCCACCTGGGGGGTCTCGAGAGAACTTCGATAAATCTATTTTGAGCACCGCTATACGTGAGAAGGAAGAAGAAGTCAACTTGCACGGCTCGCACATTTCTCGTCAGGTCTACATGGATTCGTGGATACACAAGGGAGTTCCGATGGCAAGATACACGTTTCCTCTGGAAGTTCATGAGCCACTCAAGCTCCAACGAACATGGTGCGACAGCCAGCAGCATCCCGTCGGTACGAATGAAGGACCCATACGGTTAAGGGAAGATGAACATCTTGATTACTGTTGGGTTACGGAAGCACAAACCCGTGTTTCACCTCTCTACGACGAAAGGAATCCTTAGCATCAAAGAGGACTTGTTATGCTTGAAAGCAAGAGGAGATGATCCTTGACGCTTTT